TGGGGAAATCACTGCCACTTTTCAATGCATGTGTAAAATTTTTCAAGAAATTAAATTCAAGATATAAATAGGAATTACAAATAATTTTTTTTTTTAATCAATTAAATTATTTGATGATTCAGCACTATTTAAGATTCTATACAAGTAAGTCTTTACAAGGCATACATGTACTTTTATAGTAAAATACATGTATATAATTATGACAATGACAATAATGACAATAGATTTTATTAGCATTAAACATTGTACAAATGTTTATAGCAACAAATGATGAAAAAAATTCCAAATACACTCCTACATGTATATATATAAATGGTGAGCATTAGTGCAAAGGCAATAATAAGTCCTCTATCTTCCATTTATAACATTTACAAATGAAATGTATCTTTAGTAAAGCATTAAAGTATTTCTGGTACGAAAAGTGTTGAATACAATAGCAATAGTATATATAAATGTGCTAACAAATGGCTAGGTTCACAAAACATATGATAATTGGTGATAATTACGCAAGAAATTGTGAGAATGCCTTTTTTATTCACACCCATAGGGTAAATGATGGGTTGGTATATATGTAGCTGTATGCCAAAATGCAAACAGTTCAATATACTATGTTGACTTTTTTGCAGTGAACAATAAATTAATAATAATTCTTTTTTTAATTAAAAACTAATAAATAAATATGTAAATGATACAAGTCCCTTAACGGCTTAACCTGTTGAATTTCTTAATTGAAATCATTCAGCGTTCATTTTTGAAACTGTCCTTTATCAATTTTGGGAATAACCGACATGAAAAAAACACTAAACAACCTGATCAGAACTACATGTGCAGGCTGATCTGGTTAACTACATGTGCAGGCTGATCTGGCTCTACATGTGCAGGCTGATTTGGTTAACTACATGGCTAATCACTTATGATTCCAGCAGGTTACGGGTTAACAATAAAATGATTTTTTTTCCAGGGATAAAAATTACACTAATCTTTAATTCAAATAATGTTAACTTGAAAATAAGATAGCATAAAATTGCATTAGATCTTTCTGCAAATAAGGTTAGTTGAACTTATTTCAGATTTTTTTTCACCATGACAAAAATAATCTCTGGGATAACTCTGTGAGTGTCACATGATTGACTTGAATGCAAATTAAATCTGATTCCAATTAATTCATTTAGATTATAAGGATCTTAAACCAGCTGCTGATACAGACCGGAGTATCTAGCTCCACAGGTAACTGTTAAAGGCTGTAACCAGCCAGTGTTTGAGTCTTTTTCTTGCATATTACATAATATTATATTATGAGATTTCGAAAAGAAATTATGACATTAAAAATTAGCACATTTTTCTTAGCAACATAAATTTACAACTTCATTCATAAGGGCAAAATGGCATCATGTTACAAACTCAAGTCATTCATAAAAGGTGTGTGGGAATTAGAGCTGTCATCGATTCAGTGCAATGCATATCAACGATATATCGATATCAAGTGACTTAAATCAACGATACACCGATATATCGATAATATCCTATACTCACTTGTCTGTCATTCACTTTCATACCTGTTTCAATGATTTCAGTCAAAAGCATGTTCTGTACAGTGTTTTGTCTACTGCATGATTTTTTCCAGACAATATTTTTTGTCACCTTTGCTATGATTATGAAATAATTCCACTATACAACAAAAGCATAACATTAGATATAAATAACTGTTTCTGCATATATTTTGGGTGAATTGTATAATTTCTAGACATTTAATATAAATATGAGTCAAAAGTATCGATTTTTTAAAATGTGTATCGATTATTGATCGACAAAAAAATATCAACGATACATCGATATTGTCGATATCGATGACAGCTCTAGTGGGAATGATGTTATTTAAATCATGAGATATGTAAGGTGCCTTACATGTGGTTGGGGAGGCGGGGGATGTAAGACAAGCTTTTCTAGCACCGGTAGATAATCCTGTCTAATATGTCAGAAATAAATAATGTTAAAAAAAAAAAAATGATGAAAAATAAATTTAACCTTCCTAACTAACATTGCTAAACTGGTATGGATTGTTGGACAGGAAAAAAAGTTACTTTAAGGCTGGCCTTGCTCACCATGAGCATGGTTATAGAATGGGGAAACAAATTTTGGCCCCAAATCGTCATAAAGAGAACACCAGATAATCAGATGTTAAATTCCCCACTAAATTCTTATTGTCAGTTTGACATTGCTAAATTGGTGCCAAATTAAAACACTAAAGTAGTACTATTAGTATACATTAAGCAGGAAGGTACAAACAGGCTGGTGAAAATGCCCGATCGGGCTTATGACATAAAAAATCACATTTTTTACCAGCCTGATAAATACCGTCATTGATCTTTTCGAAAACCTAGCTAAACACTGTTTTCCGGTACTTTACGGATTTAGCTCTGGGGTATTACACCCAATGATGTACATATCACTTTTATTTGATATTTCCATTTTTTATCATTATTTTACCGTTTATGGTGGAAAAACTTGTTGGTTTGAAAATTATCAATGTTCCTGTACTATCTATCACAAATTTTCCAAAAAAAAAAAATGTTATTCATAGTAAAAATCTGTATAATTAAAACAGTCATAGCATTTGCCATAATAAATAGAGATATTTTCTGTATAAACCTATATATTTTCTTTATTTTTTTTCATTGAATCATTCATACAGTGATATTTAATTATTTTCTTAGGCCTAACAAAAAAAAAAATTTGTTTCCAGTGACATGGTTTTGAAAAATAGGGTAGGTAGGTAGGCATTTTTTTTTTAAATATTTTTTTTTATATTTTTATATCAAGTGTAAGCGACAGAAATATGAATATGCGGCACAAAGTTTATTATGCAGCATCAAACAAAAAATGTGGCCTGTTTTCCCTCAAAAAGTATACGGTCTGTGGCCAAAAAATGGGGTAGGTAGGGACACCGGAAACAAACAATTTTTTTTAGGCCTTACAAAGAAATAATTGTTTAATTACAATTAAATCGAAAAAATGCCAAAAACACAGATCGTTACTACAGGCCCTTTAGGTGAATTCCCCAGAGCTGTGTACAGAAAGTACCAGAAAACGACGTTAAGCTAGGTTTTTCGAATTCGTGAATACTCATAAGTTAATATTAATAACCACCACTTTCTCAAGCATTGACCCAGGGATTGAGGCCACTTATGGTGCTTAAATTGCATTTTATAATTATACATCATAAACATATAACTATATCTATATGATTTACATTTAAAGCTATGTGTATTTCATATTTGTTACTGATGTTATGGTTACTGTAGATTCCAAAAGCAAGACAGAGGATTAAATTCTAGATCTACCATTCAGATAGATCTATCAAAATTAATTATCAATAATATGAAGGTTATCAAACCGTTAATATTTAACGGTGCCATTAATTTCTTATTACTTAACAAGAATATACACATGATATTTCACTAGTATTAACGGCCGTACTTAACCTGGTTCGAAATTTACTGTGAACGAATTATCCAAGAAACCCTCACTGTTATCAGTGAATATTGAGCATCATACTTTATACGTTTCGTTTAACGATAAAAAAGGTAAAAAGTCTTAGATATGCATTTTTTAAAATGAACATACAGCTAAAACAGTTAGAAATACCTAGAATCTACTCATTACTTTTGACAGGTGCATCCCTCCAGCCTCCATTAGACTGGTACCACAATATTTTATTTGGGTACATTTGCATTTAAAACCGCAAAGAATATAAAATACCCAAAAGAAAATGTGTACGGTATGACTGCATTAAATGCTATGCTAGAATTTTTTTTAATGTTTGGACTCTGCAAAAACAAAGGTTGTTATATTTCCTAGGGGCAGGAATCGTATGGAAGATGCACCTCAATCTGCAGATTCACTTGTTTGATAAAATATTTGTTCCTATTCTTTGTTATGGCTCTGAAGTTTGATGAATAGAAAATTTAAAGTGTATTGATCAGTATCAGCTTAAATTAAAAAAAATATACTTAACCTCAAGCAAAATTAGAATGTAAGCTTTTGAAGGGTAAAGATGATAAAACTGCATACTCAGTATATGTTAGATATAGAACTGAAATACCGTGCCTTCCTTTTGTTAAGGATACTTTGGACGAACTTAGTTTATCAAAAAATTATTGGTTAAGCCAATCTGTAAAGATAGGTTTATATGTATATCTTATTTTTGCATGCTTTTTCTTGTTATTTCTGTAGATTTTAAACTTAATTTAATTTCTTAATTTCATGTTCTTAGATGTGCTTATGCTTATTTTTATACATATCTGTCTTAGCTAATATATAACTCTTTTACAGGAATGTACATTTGTATATATATTTATCAGTCTTTGTATTATCTTGCTTGTAATTATTGTAACTTTTAAGCATGCTATGGTGCTATAATATCTTAAATCCATGTATTTAGATGTTCTTATGCTTATAATTTTTAGTTGCTTTAATATCTTTATTTAATGTACTTAAATGTACAAGTTTATGCTTATATTTTTTAGCTGCTTTACTTTTGTTTTGTTCATATACTATTGTTTGTCGGGAAATAGCTCATGAGCTAATGTTTTCTGTTTAAATGTATCCGACGTAAAATAGATTTTCTTGTATCTTGTTCAGTTCATTCAAAGTTGGAACAGTGATGTCCAATCTTTAAGAAAATATTTAAACTACTGTTTATATAAATCAGAATTTGTGTTCCAAGATTATTTCAAAATACTTCCTTGGCAACTGTTTTCAGCCTTGTTAAAATTTAAATGTATGAATCATGAAATGCCAATTGAGAAAGGTAGATTCCTAAATATAGAGAGAAAATTACGTATATATGTACTTTATATGTGTCAAACCAACTGGGTGACGAATCTCTTTTATTGCTCACATTTTGTTAATAGTAAACGTAAATCTTTTATACCGTATTACTATAAGTATTCTAATGCATTACAATTTGAAGATCTTATGAATAGTAAAAAGAAATCACATTTAAAAAGATATTGCTTTATTTTGTAAAGAAATAATTACAACAGTCAAATAATAGGTATAATGTTGTATTGTTAGTCTCCTAGACCTTTTGTTCATGAAGCATATATTTCAATTATTGCTAAGAATCTAGTCATTTTTTTACGGGTACAATATATTTGTTACTCATTCTCCTGTTTATTTATGCATATTTTTATGTATATTTTTCTGTGTTCCGGTTGTTACATGTTCATAATTTTGTATTTTATGTCACATGTTCTTATGAATCTTCTTGAACGCCGATAAAGATGCATTATTTATCAATAAAGTCATTTATGAAAGAAGACAGACAATGAAAATAGATTAGTTCATGAAATATAAATCCTATTTACTAATATTACATTCTGTCACTCAGTCATGCGCAAGATTGCATTTTTTACCTGCGCAAAGAGGTTGTCATAATCAGCAGAGACCGATATTTGATTCAATATTATTGTCATTCATTACATTTTCAGAATCGCTGTGCTTAGTAATGTTCAGTTCAAGAGAAGCACGATATGAAGCTGCGAGGGCTAAGTCGATGCATGATTGTTAAGTGCAATGAAAGAGACGTAAAATCATATTTGTAGAAAGGTTGCTATGTCTTTGCTTTTTCGGGCTCTATTGTAACAGTCCATTTAACGTAATGCATCGAAAAATGAAAATCCAAACTGACCACCCACAGGCGATTTCTCTCCTTACTTTGTGTAAGTTAAATAATGTATACAGTACAGACCATATTTGAATAGAAATTTTTGAAGTCAATAACACGAACTTCCTACAAAGCAGATGAATCATACGCTTTCTTTGTGTCCGGCTGATTTGGTGTAAATTTGTTCCGGCTTGCACATTTCCTTTGAATAAACACCCGTAAACTATATAAAAGATAACAAATTAAATGAATAATCGGAATAGCAACACAAATGAACACAACTGCAAGCAATATTGTCCGGTTTCTTTTGTTTCCCCAATCTAAAATCGGATAAATCATCTCCCCACCAAATATATGATAAATGATAGAAAAACAGGTGTAGAAAATGGCAGGGACCATTGGTTGATATACATGTAGTAACTGCACAGGTTTTGCGGAGAACAGTAAACCAAGCACGGTATATACAGAGTTCATGAGATGTATGTATACGCTACCATGGTGCCATTCTGGAAGTAAAAAAACAACTACATGAGTCATACATGTTAAAGATAGCATTACTTTATATATTTCACTTAAATTTATATGTAAAATGTGAGTGGAGTGGAGCGTTGCCTTAACTGCCATATCTAAATGTTATCAAAATCGCTCTAAAGTTTTACAGACTTATACTTTTGCTTTATTTTGGACGAAAACGGTCAAAAATAAACAACATGTTCGTGGGAATGTTCTGGAAAGCAAACTGTATTACTTTACTCCATGTGTTTTCATGGTTTTGTGTGTTTTGAATTTAAGATAGAGCAAAGGTGTGTTTTTCTTAATTTCTATGATCTCATATATACTGCTCTATGTGCATTTTTATGGATATTAAGGTATATAATGGAGAGATCTAAGAAAGTGCAGTTGATCGGCTTAAAAAGAACAGGGTGTATTCTATTGTCAACAGTTTATTTATGATTGCTTTCAATTTATTAACGAAACTTCAGTCCATTGATTTGAAAATACTTAAATACATGTAAGTAAAATAAATATAATAAAAGTTCTGGGATGGTCGCTATAGATTAGTTATCGATAAACAATAGAAAATATATTTACCGACTTCGAGAAAACCATAATATATCATGCTGACAAGTATAGAATATCCGTTACTGATGTTAAATAGAACCCACTGCATTCTTATATACCATGTTAGTCCATTCGTTTCACCTGAAAAAAAAAAATAATTTTCTTTTATATTAATTTCATGCTTCTGAAGATTAAATCTTTGATTCTGGTGCTCTTCGTCTAATTCAGTCAAGCCTTATTCTATTGTTAATAGATCTATACATGTACATGTATAACACGCGAAAACGCGCGCACGGTCATAGACACGCGCGCACACATACGCATTATATACAAAAAACAAAACAATGAAACTGCCACGAATATTTCGTTTCAGGCTGAAAGTATAAATACTTCTTCAGGTTTCAGCCTTTAATTCTGGGCACAGAGTCAACACAAAAACATGCTACCTACCATCTCTTATATCTTGCCGTCTAGCATGGACATATATCGTCACGAAACAGTCGGTTAAGACAAACAGAGATTGCAATAGATAAGCATGGTTCGTCACACGAGTAAAATATGTAGCACCCATCTCAATATCATAGTAGACTTCAAAACCAAGATTTATCAAATAAAATAACGCCCAAACAATTGTCCACGGAATGTAAAATTTCGGCGGAAACCACTGAAAATAGATTGATATAGCTATTTAAAACCAAATTATGGATTATTAAAACCAATTTATTTTCCCGCTTTTCACTGTATCTTGTGTTGGTATAAGAAATTAAGAATTATTCTGTTATCTCTCTTAATATGCTTCAGAATTCTTTAGGAAGGTCAATTATGTAGTAAACAGGCAATGTTCAAAGAATTGCAAGCAATAAAAAGTCCCCTACCGATTAGATCTGGAGGACCGTAGCGATTCAATATGCCATTGTGGAAGACATGAATAAACATTAAAAAATTTGAGTTCTTAGTTTGTCTGTATCATAGTTTTGTGTTATGTTTCCATGCCTGAGAATGAAATAATGTTTATTCAACAGATAATCAAAAGAACCAATTTTCTCAGGATGAATATGTATAACTTTAACTTAAAACAGATTTTAGGGACGACCAGAGAGACGTTAAAGTAAAAAGGATATAACTCTTTAAAAAAGATGCTAGAATTATGAACATCTTTATGCATGATGTGATTGGTGATAAAGAACAATTATTGTATGTCTACAGTAGATACCATTTATAGTAACAAAGAATAAAAGTGAAAAAAATACCAATTTTTAAATATATACCATTTATAGTTATGAGGAAGAAAAAAAAGAACAATTTTCAAATAAATTCAAAGTTCAAAATGAAAATATTCATGGAAACCCAGGCGCTCGGCTTATAAATCTAATTACATATGATGTAGGTGTTAATAATGAACATACAGTATATTTGAAAATTGTCGTCCATGGAGAAATAAGCTGTAGAACAAACAAAAATGAAAATTCAAAGTTAAGTGGGGAGATAATTCTGAAAATATGGACATTTGATTTATAAACCTTGTCTATTATTATGATATGGGGGTTTGAAGTTAGGAGTAAATCCTGTAAGGAAAAAAAATTAAGTTCAATGGGACATAATTCTGGAAATAGTCAAGCTAGAGTATTGAATCTCTGTATGAATAAGGAACATATACTAGTACTTGAGTTGTTTGAAGTAGATACCTTAAGAAATAAGAATTTATTGAAAACAAACAACATTTTTTGCATGAAAATTCTGAGTTCAATTATGATAATTCTGATAATATAGGTGCTGGAATTATGAGCCCTGCCACATATGATGTAGGTGATGTTAAGAAACATATATTTAAAGTGTGAAAAAAATACATTAAGAAATGAGGAAGTTATACTAAAAAAATATTAAAAATTCTGTGCATATTCTACAGTCTGCCATGTACCCATATTTCAAATTTCATAAAAGTATTTTCAGTACTTTTTGAGTTAACACGGGATCCAGTTTTGTTGACGGACGGACGGACATACAGACGGTGGGGAACTAGTAATGCTTTAATAACAAATTTAGAGCATAATAGATGTTTATCAGCCTAAAATAGTAGCGCTGAAAGTGCAGTTACGTATCGTAAAAGATAAAATAGTAATTTTTTCATACAAAATACTAAATTTCAATACTTGTACCAAAAGCCAACGAGCTAAAGAAGCAAAAGGTAGTTGACCTATAAGGCTAATGAGAACTCTTTTAGAAACTGTAACAAAATAACAAAAATAACCAGTTTTTGAGAAATAGAAATTATAGCATTTTGGGACCTAAATGGGTCTTTTAATATACCTTTTTGTACAATTATTACACATCAAATAAACATGCACATACATCCACCTATCATATAAAATACAACTTGTTCAATTCAAGAGTAAACGATACGCTCTAAAGACATTTAGATAGTGATCAATATGTATAGTAACTTAGGTATATAGTATATTAACTTCTTCAACTGTGACACATTTTGATGGGTGATGAATCGATGAGACATAATCATGTACAGTGTATACGTACGTACCTTACAAATAAAATGATTCAAAATCATCAATGCAAAATCAAAATATAACCATGTTACAAATTTACACACAAAAAAAAAACAACAAACAAAAATATTATTATAAAGAGCTTCCTGCTTAAAAAGAAATTCCAAATGATAATATTTTAAAAATTGAAAATGTCTACATATTTCTCAGCCAGAGCTTATTTGTGACTTTTATTTGCCAGATCACTGCTGTTATGCACGGAAGGAAAAAAATGATACCATAAATCGAAAATCATTAATGAATAATATAGCTTTTGATTTACACAATAACAATTGTGTACATGATTTATGAAGAAACATAATTAACGAACACACTATTTCTTATGATTTGACAATAAGTAATAAAGATAAAAGCCATCTTTATATTACTAAAATAAAATGTGTTTATACATTTATTAACAGCATTTATATATTTCATTTTGAAAAGGGAACATCAAATACTTTTTGTAAGTAAATTTTACTAAATAACAATTATTAACAATCTTACCTGAGGTCTGATAAATAATGTAGGATGTTCATGACTTAATCCAAATTTATGTAATCGGAATTCCTCTCTCAGACTACGACATCTGCTAGTCCCCATGTCATCTTCTTTTTCGACGGACATATTATTGATTCATTAAAGCTACTGAAGGGAACGATATTGGCGATAAAGTATATGAAGTACAAATACATTTGTACATTTTTAACAAATTATATATATACGAAAGCTGCCGACGCGTTTTGTCACACAACGGTAACTTCAAGTAAACATGTATAAATATTGTAGATATATAAAGAAAATATTACAAAATAAACTAAATATTACCGCAAATCTATTACAATGATTATGCCACAAGGCTAATCACTAAGTTCGTTGAGTCATTTAATTATTATTTATGTTTATTCTACGTGTATTTCTTAGACAACCATTATATAACTTTATCTTCGGTGGTTTTGAAAAGTTATACCTGACATAAACTAGGGTAATCAAAAAGTCGTAACATTTAAGCAGACATTGTAAAAATAATTATATATCAAAATCAGGGTTTTATAACAAAGAAGGATGGTTAAAATAATATTTACAGACTCCTTCAGGGCAATATTTATAGCATTTCATATCCAAATCGTGATAACAAGATAAAAAAGTTATGTATATATGTAAAGGAAAATCTCTGATCTCTGACATTAGGGGAAATACTTCAATAAATCATGAATTCTGTCATAATTCAAGGCATAAAAAGCCTTATTATCGACGACAAATCATATTACTAAATGACTCCGGTTCAAAAAACAGTATTTCAGGATATAAAATGTGTTTCATAGAATACCATTCTTTTTTTCTTTTCCTAAAGTAAAAATACTAAATGAGTTTACAAAAACGTTTTAATAGGTCGTGAAATACAATAGTACAATTCGTGTTAATCAGTATCATCTCGAATGAAAACATCCACCTGATGTGAAAACAATGCTCTTGGCAACACTTTAATTTAATTTCTGAGTTACTGAGATAAAGGCAGATCAATGTTATATCTGAGGCATTTTGAAGAATTATGTTGACCGTTTACGACTGTTTTTACTTATTATTTTATTTACTATTGACCAATTGTCAATAGGTATTTTTATCGTAAAATAGACAAAAACGGAATCCCTAAAGAAAGGTCAACACGGCAAAATGTTACAGGCTCGGGTTTGATTGGGTATTCAGTAAAATAGAGAGAAATAAAAAAAATCCTTAAAGAACGCCCAACACGGCAAAATGGCAAAATTGAAAATGTTGCAGGCTCGGTTTGAGCCTGTTCGTGGACGGTACTGTCAAGTGCAAACTACCGTCCACGCCCCCTAGCATCGGCTTAAGCAGTATTCAACATTTAACATAAGCTGGTAAAATTTGGAATTTTGAAACATCCGCAGAGGTGTTCATAGGGCGGTTATCATGGAACCTTCAATGTGACATGTTGGTGTCATTCCATGAAAAGCGACATATGGTCCCGAAGTAAAACAATGCGTGTGTCCTAAAAGAGAAAACAATGGGCGGAAATAAATAAAATGGAATTTGAAAGGGGATCAGAGGTTATGAAGCCTGCATATATCAGATATGACGTCAAAAGACAAATTTAAAAAGCAGGCCACATATTCTAAGGGTGATTCCACTGTATTCAAGTGAGGAATACCGGAACCACCCAGCAAGCAAATAGCCGAATAGAAAGAACTAATTAAAGTACCACAAGCACAGCAATAAATGTCGTTCTGAACGAGTCGGAAATATAACATTCTGATTGAATATACGGGGCGACTTTTTACAGCCTCCACACGGCACAAACAACGCTGATGTGACGATAAAAAAGAGAGAAATAAGAATCCCTAAAGAAAGCCCAACACGGCAAAATTTAAAATGTTGCAGGCACCGTTTGTTTGACCCTGTTCATGGACGGAACTGGTAAGTGCAAAGAACCGTCCACGCCCCAAGCACCGGCTAAAGCAGTATTCAACATTTAACATGAACTGGTAAAATTTGGAATTTTGAAACATCCGCACATGTGTTCATATGGCGGTTACCATGGAACCTTCAATGTGATATGTTAGTTCTATTCACATTTTCACAGTCAATTAAATGTACATGTATTGTCAAAGAAAACTTAAAATAGAGAAAAATGGTATTCCTAAAGAATGTTCAAAACGACAAATTTTAAAAAATGCATGCTCGTATGATTTAGTCTGTTCATGGGCGTTACTGGAAAGTGCAAGTTACGGTCTACACCGCTTAACACCGGCAAAAGCAGGAATCAACATTTAAACACAAAAATGGTAAAATTTTGAATATAGTAACATCCGCAGCTAGATGTCTTCATACGGGGTCATCAGGGAACCTTCTATGTGATACTTTCGTGCCATTCCATAAAAAGTAGCTTATGTCCCCAAGTTAAAAAAAGGCGTAAAAGATTCACGACAACGTACTTTATGTCAAATGTTCTTATGAACCATGACAGTATTGAATAAATCTTGAAATCTTGACTACTTCGACCTCTAGAATATATTATTCTTAAATTTGACTTTCAATCAGATATGTTATATTTCCGATCCTTAAAGATCGTTCAGCACGACATAATTGTTGTGCTTGTGGTAACTTAGTTATTTCTATTTGGCTTTTTTCTTGTTGGGTGGTTCCAGTATTCCTCACTTGAATACTTTTGAATCACCCTTAGGATATGTGGCCTGCCTTTAAAATTTGTCTTCTGACGTATTATCTGTGATATGCAGGCTTCATAACCCCTGAACCAGTTTGTCAGTTCTTATAGTGACAAATAGGGTGGTCATACCTTAACTGCTATTATATAACGGTTTATTTTTGAATTATGATTTAGATTTAGATTTTATTCAATACTGTCATGGTTCATAAGAACATGTTAATATTCAAGCTGTTCCATTCAGTATGGATCTTTGTACTACGCTTAAAAACTTTGTGGTATTTTCGTATTTCTATTTCGCTAAAATTAGGGAACCGGCCTAAGGAAAAAAATCGTCAGCAAAAATGGAATTGGAACTGAAAAATACACTATTAAATGTTTTTGGACACGAAAAGTTTAGATCAGACATTCAGAAAAATGCTATTTTGACAATATCTGAAGGTAGACTCCTTGATATTACAAATGATAAGAGAGAAATTTTTGCTTAGTGTGTACCTAAGTTTCATGCTTTCGCTTAGACGAATTCGGATACGAGACGTGTGCCGTGTGGTTGTAGTTATTTCTGTTATATAAGACCACTTATATCAAATGATAACTGTGCAGTTGAATTTATTTATTATGTTGATATAAATTTAAAGTTTGTTTAGGCCAGATAAGTTCAAGTTTTAAAAAGAGAAGACAGTTAAATCTGAACAATTTTATTATCAAATGCAGTATAGATAAGAAAACTCAGGGTTCTCGGGGACGCTTATTTCGGCGTCCCGGTACGCATGTTTATTACAGCTGGACGCAAATATTTCAGAGCAAGGATTCCACGTACGCTTAATTTTGCCTGGGGACGCGTATACATTACCGATTGTTTACAGCCACAAATACACAAATGCGTCAGCGCGTGTCAGTCTATAGGTAGGCGGTCCTATGCAAATCGACCCGTGAAGCGATTAGCCAATCAGCGATAACGCTTCCGATCATTATCACGCAATAGTGATACACGCACTGTACAGTACATGTAATTACCAGATATAACACGAGGTGATAATTTTATCTTTGATCAACAGTTGATTGGAAATTAGCAAATTTTACCGACAAAAGGATAAAATTATCGACTATTTACGCCGCAAGACTGTTTTTCTCAAATAACAAATGAGTGTAATTTTGAATGATTGTCGAATATTTTCGGCATTTTCTAGGCACAATTTTGCTTTAGTTTAATTCTTGCAAAAACTTTCTATAAGAGTATTAAGAATTTAAGATATTGTGCCGAAATGCCAGGTACACATACGCTTTTCTTTGATATTTAGATACTATCCGAAAATTGATCCCGAACATCGACGATTTCACGTTCGCCAGAAACCCTTAAATTTCGCAAAAATTCTCGGTTTCAAAGCCAAACATGCGAATAAATTGTTCCTTTATTATTTAATCAACATTAAATCTTTAAATATCGATCTTCAATTTGCCCCCTTTTGAAGATATTTGCTAAAATAATTGTCGATCGGATGTGTCTCTTACACACTGTGTGAAGCTGTACACGATTTTCTTATTCATTCCGCTAAACGCTGCCTATATACATTTACGTTTTTTTTTTACAAATACAAACTTTTTTCTTTAGAGTGGACTTTTTTAACCAGAATAAAATTTGTTTTGGTTTAAAAGTGAAAAAAAAAAAAAACGATTTCCATGTGTTGATGCATTATAATGAAATAATTTCATAATAAATATTAACAACAAAACAATAATTATACTATGTAGTTCAAAGTTTCTTTTGAATAACTATAAACTTTGTAAGTCTCTTGAAGAGTCAAAATATCAGCAATGCTATTGTGAGCATTGAATGACTAATCTATAAACATATTAATTGCGACGCGCTTTTGGACTCCAACTTTTTTAGGGTTGGGAGTCCATGGACTCCATGTTTTAAAGTCCTAGTGAGAACCCTGAAACTGTACATGAAAGATAATTTTTCATCAATTTAAAATTGATTTCCTTTTATTAAATTATAAAACTGAGGAATGAAATCACAGATATCATCACAATTCTATTCCAAAAATCTTTACCCTCTGGTACAATTCCCTCTGACTGGACCAAAGCCTATGTTTGCCCTATTTACAAAAAAGGTGACAGCACAGATCCAGCCAACTATCGACCGATTTCATTAACATGTATCCTTTGCAAAATGCTCGAACACATTGTCGCCTCACATCTCTCTTCACACTTCAGTAATCACAACATTCTCTTCGACCTTCAACATGGCTTTAGGGAGAAACGCTCATGTGAAACACAGCTTATTGAACTAACAGACTCTCTTGTCAACAACATCTCAGCAGGGAAACAAACAGATCTTATTCTCCTTGACTTTAGCAGAGCCTTTGATAAAGTAAATCATCGTAAACTTCTTCTTACCCTTCAAGAAAACGGTGTCTCCACACAAATTCTCAATTGGACATGTTCCTTCCTGATAGGTCGGAGCCAAACTGTTGTACTGGAAGATGAACACTCTACAGAAGTCCCTGTAAACTCTGGTGTCCCCCAAGGCTCCGTCCTCGGCCCACTCTGCTTTCTGATCTACATTAATGAACTTCCATCTTCTGTCTCCAAGTCTCAAATTCGCCTCTTTACTGAAGACACTGTGGTTTACATTACCATAAACTCGTCCTCAAAATGTCAAGTCCTTCACATCACTAAAAACAAAAAAGTCATCAACAACAAGTACTTCCTTCATGGCCAAGCTTTAACATCAGTTCCTAGCTCAAAATACCTTGGCCTTGACTTGTCAAAAGACCTAAACTACAACACACATATCTCAAGAATTACATCAAATGCAAACAAAACCCTAGGATTCATAAAACGAAATATCAATACAAAAAATGAAAAAGTAAAACAAGTAGCTTATAAATACCTAGTAAGACCCCAGTTAGAATACGCATCAACTGTTTGGAGCCCCTACACACAATCAAACATCCAAAAAATAGAGATGGTCCAAAGACGAGCGATACGCTGGGTAAAACAGGATTACTCCCCTTTGTCATCAGTTACAGCCATGCAGAAAGATCTTGGCTGGCGTTCTCTCGAGCATCGCAGACTAGACTTTAGACTTATTATGTTTTTTAAAATTTACCATAATCTAGTAGCCATTAGCCTTCCCACCTACATTAAAACTCCATATGCATCCCCTCTCTCTAAGGAAAATACAGGTTACATCAGACTACCATAAGTTCTCCTTCTTCCCCCACTGTATCACACTACAACCAGCTCTCAAGGAACATTGTCACCCTGCCTGATCTAGATCAATACAAACAGGCAGTGGTTAAGATACAGTATTAGTTGACTTGTTGTGTTTTTTCTTTTAAATCTTTCTTTCACCCTTACTAATAAAAATATTTTAACAATGACTAGAAGTTTTCAATGTCTCTCACTGTCCTGATCATGTTCATTTTCAGGTTTTTACTTTCTCTCACACCTTTTACTAACACACCCGACGTGCACAATTTCCTGCCTATAACACTCACAAGAGGGGTTGGCAGTACTCAGAGATAGATAGATAAAACTTATTAATGATACTTATGTTTGTGTTATTAACAAATAATTTTACATACATTCAGACTATTAAATTGATTGTTTTTTGTCGAATAATGCACAAGAATTAATTGGAAAAATGGTATTTACACCTTTTTTTTTAAAAAAAACATCTTTTTTTATGAAAAAAAAAAGTTTAAATCTATGTATGCTATTCCTGTTAGGTTTTGTAACAGGTCTGATCCAAAACTTTAATGCTGCATCAAATTAAAAACAAAAATGTTAAAAAGCAGCTTAATAAAGTTTTGGAAGCCAGAACTAATTTTAGCAGAGACATATAATAAGATATAAAGTGTCTCTGATTTTAGCTAGTAAATGAAGAATCATTATATGTCTAACCAAAGTCAAACTTGTCACTGATATGATGAATGTCCTTGTACTTTCCACCAAATCATAAGATAAAAATAATTGAAATTTAAAATTTGCAGTAATAACAATCTTTAAAAGAAATTTATTTTCAGGTAAACAAGATGTATTTGTGTGTATGCCAACAGGGGCAGGTAAATCACTATGTTATCAGCTTCCTGCAGTTATTGCCCCTGGAATCACATTTGTTGTCTCCCCACTCATTGCATTGATGCAAGATCAGCTTGAACATTTAGACAAAATTGGTGTGAAATCAGAAACGCTGAATTCTAAAATGACAGTGGATGAACGCAAGAGAGTTTTATCAGATTTGGAGAAAGAAAAACCTAAAACAAAAATGTTGTATATCACACCAGAACAAGCTGATACTGATAACTTTAAACAACTCACTGAAAGTCTTATGAAAAGAAAATTAGTGAAATATTTTGTGATTGATGAAGCTCATTGTGTGTCTCAGTGGGGTCATGACTTTCGACCTACTTATCTGAGACTCGGTTATTTCCGTTCAAAATACTTGAAAGGTATACCCTGCATAGCACTGACAGCAACGGCACCAAATCAAGTGACAGATGATATTATAAAACAACTGAGATTGAAAGAACCCATTGCAAGGTTCAAACAGAATGTTTTTCGTCCAAATTTATTTTATGATGTTAAAATGAAGGACACAATAGGCGATGTGTATGAAGATTTGAAACTGTTTGCCCTCAAGGCTCTTGGTGGAGCAGCTGAACCAGGGGAGGATTGGGTAAGTTTAAATAATTAATTTACATGAAAGTATCACAAAACCTGTAAGATATTATGTGTCTTTGTAAGAATAAAAACAAATAGTGAAAATAAAATCAAAATACAATGTATGTGCCAACTGATAATTATTGTTCATAAGTATATATGAAAGTGATTCTTCTAACCAACATTCCTGGGTTATGAAATATAGATGACAATGCAAAATAACTGTATTTTCTATATGATCTCAGAATGACTATGGTTGTGGTATAGTGTACTCAAGGACAAGAGATGGATGTGAGGAGGTGTCTCACCATCTGACAAGGAAAGGGATACCAGCCAAACCTTACCATGCCAGGCTTAAGAACAATTTGAGGGAGGAAAATCAAACAGAATGGATGCAAGGGAAATTTCCAGTTATTGTTGCTACCATAAGTTTTGGAATGGGTGTTGACAAAGCTAATGTCAGGTATATATGTACATGCAATTTCATTATTTATGTGGCAAGATAATGACTATTTTAAACTTAAAAGCCTGTGTTTATCTGTTTCATATTTTGTAATTAACAATATTTGTATATTTACATAAATTTTCTGTATACTTTTTCCCATTTTTCACAGAATTGTAAAAGGTGGTCTTTTCTTTGCAATTAGACCACTTTTTGGATAAGGTGAATGGCCTTTATATACAGGTTGTCCTATATCTGAATTGTGATATACAGTACATATGGATATATTACATGTCTCTAGATTTAGGTAAGTTTTGTTTACATTTGGTTTAATCAGGATGTTTTGCTATGTATTTAGAACTGAATTTTTTTGAAAATAACATTCTAATGCAATTCTCATAGAAATGTCGTAAAATTTTGACATTTGAAAAGAAAAAAAACAAGGAATTTCCTCTTTTTACATCAGATGATAAGGTTTCATTTTATTGGAAGTAATTGTATCTCATTAGATTTGTTGCTCACTGGAATATACCAAAGTCAATGGCGGGATATTACCAGGAGTCTGGTCGTGCTGGTAGAGATGGGAAGAGATCATACTGTCGACTGTACTATTCTAGAGAGGACAGGAATACCGTTGCTTTCTTGATCAATAAGGAAGCAAAGAGATACAAAAAGGTGAGTTTAATAATGAGATTTGCCCTTAAGTTATGGAGACACAGTGAAACAATATACAGTGTATCTTATTATGGTTACATAGTAAAACCATACCTATCATGGTAAGGTTGTAAAACTATACCATTTTATCATGGTTAGGTTTAAAACGATACCATCTTATCATGGTTAGGTTTCGAAACCATACCAGCTTATCATGGTTAGGTTTTAAAACCAAACAGTTTTATCGTGATTAGGTTGTAAAACAATACCATTTTACCATATTAAAGAAATTGGTGAGCTTTTTATAAAAAAACGTGTTTTTAGCTCACCTGTCACAAAGTGACAGGGTGAGCTTTTGTGATCGCTTTTCGTCCGGCGTCCGTCTATTGTCCGTTCGTCCGTCGTCCGTAAACTTTTACTTTAAATGACATCTCCTCATAAACCACTAAGCCAATTTCGTCCAAACTTCACAGGAATGTTCCTTTGGTGGTCACCTTTGAAAATTGTTCAAAGAATTTAATTCCATGCAGAACTCTGGTTGCCATGGCAACCAAAAGAAAAAACTTTAAATATCTTTTTCTAAAAAACCCAAAGAGCTATAGAGCTTAGATATTTGGCGTGAAACATCTTCTAGTGAGTGTCTATCAAGTTTGTTCAAATAAAAGCCCTGGGGTCAAAATTGGCCCCGCCCCAGGGGGTCATTGATTTCCCCTATATGCATATAGTAAAAACTTAAAAAAACTTCTTTTAAAGAACCGAAAGAGCTAGAGCTAAGATATTTAGCATGAAACATGTTCTAATGGATGTCTACCAAGTTTGTTCAAATAAAGGCCATGGGGTCAAAATTGGCCCCGCCCCGGGGGTCATTGATTTTCCTTATATGCATATACATGTAGTAAAAACTTAAAAAAACTTCTTTTAAAAAACCTAAAGAGCTAGAGCTAAGATATTTAGCATGAAACATGTTCTAATGGATGTCTACCAAGTTTGTTCAAATAAAAGCCCTGGGGTCAAAATTGGCCCCGCCTTGGGGGTCATTGATTTTCCTTATTTACGTAAAGCAAAAACTTAAAAAATCTTCTTTTTTTTTTAAACCAAATAGCTAAGGTCTAGATACTAAGCATGAAACATCTTCTAGTGAGTGTTACCAAGTTTGTTCAAATAAAAGCCCTGGGGTCAAAATTGGCCCACCCCGGGGGTCATTCATTTTCCTTATATGTGTATAACAAAAACTTAAAAAATCTTCTTTGAAAAATCTCAAATAGCTAGAGTTTAGATATTAAGCACGAAGCATTTTCTAGTAAGTGTCTACAAAGTTTGTTCAAATAAAAGCCCTTGGGTCAAAATTGGCCCACCCCGGGGGACATTGATTTTTCTTATATGTGTATAGCAAAAACTAAAAAATCTTCTTTGAAAAAACCCGAATAGCTAGAGTTAAGATACATGTATTAAGCATGAAACATTTGCTAGTAAGTGTCTACAATTATTGTTCAAATAAAAGCCCTGGGGTCAAAACTGGCCCTGCCCCAGGTGTGTCATTGTTTTTAACTATATGTGTAAAAAAAAACTTGAAAAAATCTTCTTTTAAAAAACCCAACGAGCTAGACCTTAGATGTTTAGCATGAAACATCTTCTAATGGGTGTCTACCAAGTTTGTTCAAATAAAAGTCCTGGGGTTTAAACTGGCCCCGCTCCGGGGGCCTATATACAGGTGAGCGACTTCAGGGCCATCATGGCCCTCTTGTTAAAATAATGTTTTACTTTGTTTTTCAGAAAGATAAAGAGACAGTTCGTCTGCAGTTGAAAGCTGCCAACAAGAATTTTGAACATATGATAAGTTACAGTGAAGAGGTCAGGTAATAATCCATAAAGTTTAGTTTAGCCACAACTAAATATCTTAAAAAAGACGTGTCCATCTTTTAATCTGGACAGAACCACTCATCATTTTAATCATGGGTGCAATGGATTTCCCTCAGCAGGCAAAGGGTTAGTAGTGTCTTTAGGAGTAATCACTTCAAACATTTGCCACAGTTACATATCAGATGTGCTTTTGAAATTCGCTGGAGTTTATAAATTTTTCTAATTCATCGCAAGTCTCTGTGAATCCCTAGAACTTTCCTGAAATTTAGTTTTAACATATTTTATTCCTTTCAATTTTTACAAGATGTACAATGCAAATATATAGAAAAAGAAATACATTTTGAAAGAAAAAGGATTGGACCACAAGTGCAAATAACATTAGTAATTCGATCCGTCCCTATTTAACTTATTAGTGCTTATTTTTAGAGGAAGGCAACCTTAATCTTCTCTTTTAATTATGAAAGTTTGGAAGCAAGCAAGCTGTGTTTTGGTGGAATTTAAAATGTTACAAAATACACAAAAAAGCAACACTAAATAAAATGATATACTCAGTTTTATTAGTATTACTAAAAAATGTATTATATTAACACAAAACCTGATTGTTATTGTAGATGTCGTCACTGGAGTATTAGTCAGTTCTTCGGTGACGAAAAACCAGACTGCAACAAGTCGTGTGACGCTTGCAAGGACCCGAAGAGTGCCGAGAAGAACCTGGCGGAGCTGCAGCGTGGTCTGTTTGCCTCGGTGAACAAGACAAAAGGTTCTGGTACAATGTACTTTGTTGATGAAGATGTATCAGGAGACATGTATGGAGGTGGCAGAAAAGGTGCTAAAATGTAAGTACATGTACATGATTTGACCCTAGACCTTCCAGAACTGAAAGTAATTACCCTTTGGCACAATTATAGAGCCATGCCTGTTATAGCATTTTAGCAGTGTGACTACATCTCTATACTGTTGATAGCTTAATTTTTGTAGTTTGAATATTGAAACAACTTAAACTTAATGTGGACTGATTAAAGTGACATTATGCCCATTCAAAGGTATATAGTGAGTGAACAGGTGATAGTGAAAATAAGTTTATATTTTGCCATAAATTCTTTAATTCAATAATTTACTTTGCATAGACAATAAATAACTCAATTGGCCTAAGGAAATTTCTATACAATAATAACCATCAGAATCTTCCTATAACATTCTATGTATTAAAAGAGTTGGGCAGTCTTTTTATATTTTACTAATTTTAGGCAGTCAATTCAGCTTAACTTGACTATGAAAATATGAGCATAATGTCACTTTAATTAATAAAAAGCTGGGCAATTCCATTCATGTTTGGAGTAAATTAAACGATGTGTCAAAGGATAAAATTCTCATTTTGATATAATACATGTACATGTATGTTGTTATATGAATCTAAGTGTATGATCTTTTAAATAAAATAAAAATGAACATTATAAATTTTTATAATAATTTATACTACATTGAATATTTATATATTTGGTTACTAGGGATACAGATTCCTATGACAACCAGTATGAAAGTGATGATGATCTTGATGATTCTGAGGATGCAAAAGAAAGGAGAGATAGAAAAGAGAGGACCAATTTTATCAAAAATCAGTTCAAGAAAAGGAAAGGGGTATGACAATTTACTTATTTGTAAATAAAGAAAATTAAAATGGGTTAATATTAACAATCTAGGTCCATGTAGGGTTATATTATTTATTTTATTCTAGTACAGTTGTATAAGTGTTTTACATTTATTAAGTTATATAAATCAAATCAAGTCAAATATTTTGATACATAACATTCCAACATTTGGGACAGAAAATCAATTTACTTGGACCAAGCATAACACACACTTAACACAATGTGCATAGTTCAACAGCCAGGTTTGTAAAGGGTAAAAAAAACTCTTCTTTTTCTACTGTGGCAAGTAATTTAGCTGCCTTTCAGACTGCCTTGTTTGTATTACAAAGAAGACAATAATATTGTATTCCTGGTTTCCAGATGTGAAGTTTTATTTTATGGCTTTATTTATTTTATGTTAGAAATATAAAATGCTCAAATTTGCTATTTAAAAATACAGATAATTGATATACAGTGTCTTTTTACATGTAAAATAAACATCTTTTGAGTACACACAGAAGTTTTAAATTCTACACATTGTATGTAAACACAAAATGGATATATAGTGTCATTAAAAAATGGCAGTTTTTTTGAAAATACCAAATTTACTTGACCAGTTATAGGGAATGCAGCTTCCGAGACAGTTTGTACATTCTCTTATTCAAATTAGATATATTCAGCAAGACTTTCCTAGACTGCACTTACGGGTAAGATAATTACCCAAAGATAAACAAAGTATATCTGTAACAATTAGCCATTACAGTGATACTTTGTATACAGTTATAATTGATAAAATTGTACAGAGGTTATGCTTGGTAATTCTTAATCGACACCAATTTTTGGTTAAACTGTAAATTATTTCAGGATGTTGAGAGCTGCAGCAGCAAATCAGAGAGTAATTTTGTACCTCCTAGTGAAGATTGCCCTCTTAGAGATGCTGCTAGTCAAAAAATACCTAAACTTACAGTAGCTGTAAGTAAGAACAAGTTTTATACGATCTTGAAGCATAATGTATCAGTCAATTATATCCCCAGCCTCAGGGGAGTGCAATGGATGGAGGGGAATATGAGCAAAGTTTATCCATCTTGTTCCACTTGTCCTTGCTCTGGTTGGTAAATGCAGTGGTTCTGTTTTTGCTACCCAAACTAGTTTGAAATATGTCTATCCAGAAGTGTCGTAGAAGTGACTGAGAACTTTACTAACAAGCTGTCTATGACGAGACAACAGGAGTTTAAAGCCAAAAATTGAAAGCACATACTTTTCCTTGTGGGAGAGAGCCTTTACAATATACTGCTCAATATAAGAAGCTTGATCTTTATTCTATGAAATTAAAACTTGAAAGTTTCAATCTTGACATTACATTTGTGAACAACTTGTTAAAAGTTTTGAAGCGTTTGATTTTTTTGTCCTTCAATTTTAAAGATGAATCATACTGTATTCTGGTGTATCTATTTTCAGCAAAGAGAGCACTGTATGTCACTGTTAGAGAAAAGTTTAATAGATAATTATGTTCAGTATTACAAAGACATTCCTGCTAAAATGGCTGCCAAGGATTATGAGCCAAGATGCTGTGCAATTGATCTGGAATATGAGATTTTCAGAGGTAAAATGATTCAATATTTCTTTATTGCTTGCTTGTCATTGGTTGTTGAATAGCTAGTTGAAAGAATGGGTAGCTAATTCATAGGTTTTTTCATTTGAAGCTTATGAAACTATGTGTTCAGTTTCAATATTTAATACTGTATAAGTGGTTAATTTTGCGACATGGAAATATTTGCCATTGTTGAAATTGGAAATTATTTCCAGATATTTGATGGCAAAAAAATTATTTCTTTTTAAAACTTTCTTCTATCATTTCAAAACACATTTTCATACAGCATCTTATATGAATAAGTTTGACTGTTCAAATACTGAGATTTATTTTTCTCATTGTTTGTTTGTTTACGTTTGGTCTAAACAAATCATTTATGTTTTAATGAAACAATGTATGTGTTATTAACATAATAAGTTATTCATATAACACAAGAATGTTTTATAACATGACAAAGAAATGTAATGTAATGCAATGTAACCCGTTTTAAAGTGTTGAAAAGATTAAATATTCAAAATACACGTACCAACCACCATATTAAATACTTAGAGAGATGTATTAACACAAAAACAATCCCGAAATCTCTACGAGTCAACCCTTAACACCCCAAAGTACCGTCATCAACTCATTTTTACAAATAGGGAATGGGGAAGAAGCTCACATTACTTTCCCGGTCTATAATTTATGCTCAATTTTTATTAAGTATTGGGAAGGGGAAAAAGAGAAATAATCATAAAAAGAAAATGGAAACTGTCAACACAGATTTAAATCAAATCACATCACAAGACCCAAATTTATCTCATCACCGACATTATAGCAAAGATTACGCTCTAATGTTTGGAAAAAGAACTTAATAACAAGAAAAAAAGGTCCAGACAATGATTTCACGCACATAACTCTTGGAAAAATATCATAAAAGTAAAATATTTATCTAAACTGTAAAACCTTGCAGAAAATGTAAATAATTGGGCCTCATTTTCGAGAGGATTTGGATTCCTCCTCCATGGCCTTAATAGTAATTTACCCTGGTATTTCGTACACTAATTAACACTTCTTTGTAAAGACAAACAACTATTTAATAAGTTTACGGATACTTTAAAATAATAAAAAGCTCTTCTAAACCCAATTATACTTGAGATGGAAAAGAACAACAGCTAAAATCATACCAGAATTTAAGTTACACATGTAGCATTTATTACAAAATTGCATAATTAAAACATCCACAGGAAATCTCAATTAACGTCTACAATATTTATGCATTAACAATGAGAATTCTAGTTTTCGTTAATAACTGAAACAACTAATTTCTTCCTCAGTAACTATAAATCAACTTAAGACTTTACAGAGGTTAAACTTACATTTAAATGCAAAACAAACATTTTTGGTGAATATTAACCACTTAAACCATGCTGGTAAAAAATGGTCATTGACTAGATATGATCGGAGTTATCCAATACTTAAAAATTTTATTGGAAAAATAACTTGGCACTTTTTCCCCCAAAAAACTTGGCACTTATAGCCCAAATAAACTCATTTATATGTCTATTTATAAAGTAACATTACGCACCATTCGTTTAACACATTTTTAGTACTTCAGTAATCATTTTTCTTTGAAATGTATCCTGATGAAGGTCTTGAAAGACCGAAACCGGTAGATCCTAGAATAAACCAGTTATAAACCATCCTGATGTTTGATGTGTATTCTCTCCTTCCTTTGATTTACTTGTGTATATGACAAAGAAATGTTTGATCAGGTCATAAATCAAACTAACAATGTATCTTTCAAACAATTATATAAATAATAAAGCTATTGAACAACTGACATAACAGCATATTCTTAACATGTACCTGCTTTATTAATGATATCACAAAAACAGTTTAAAATTCAAGAAATCATATTTTTCGCAAATTTTTCCGCATGCAAAAAGTCCACTTTTTTACATTCGCAAAATTTTTGTGACACATAGATATCCACTTATACAGTATATATGAATGCATAATGGATAAACCTACATTTTATCCAACAAACCAAATTTCCAGAGTAAATGTATACAGTGTTTTCTTATACATGATACGCTTAAACATCATGATAACCTCAGATCAATGAATTGCGGAGTCAGTTTAGCACTCGCATTAAGTAGAGATCTGTTTTTACATTCTTGAATATCTATGATAAAAGAATGTTGTTGTTGTTAGAAAACTGAAGTCTGAAAGTCAACATCAGACAGTGTGGTCATTTGCTGGCCAATTTTAATGTTCTTCAATAGAGAAACTTAGATACTCCAGAACGAACCAGATGTGGGTTTTTCCCAAATGTGATTTCGGGATACTAACAAACATTTATAGTAACGACTTGGTATTTATATTGATAATAACTGCCACACGTTAATTACTGTACTGTATTGTGCATGGTAATGTAGCTTGAACATACAATAGTAAAAGTGTGTTTGTACCCTGGGATAAGAGATGAAGCACACAAGTTTCAGATAACATATATTGTTGTCATTTACAATATATAATCATTTAGAATATTGCTTGATGTTTAAATCATTTGATGAATTTTTTTTTTTTTTCAGCTAATAGATTACACAACATTTATAAAGCGTCAGTGATGAGATCAGTGTCCGAGATCAAGAAATTCACTGCCATTAAAGATTTACACCCCTCCTTAGTCCCTAAATGGTCGTCTACCTCACAGTCAAGTCCCACAAATAATGACAACGATAAACATAAATCTAGTCCTTCCACTGATACAAATACTGACAATCTTACAATCTGTGATAATGAAATTGATGAGGAAAGTGCTGTTAAAACAAATGTGATAGATAGTGATAAAGATAAGACAAGTGAAACAAGTGACAGTGTCCAAAATACTGAAGAAAAGGACCCCAGTAGTGTTGTAAATGTTGGGAAAGTAGTTGTTCCAGTCGAAGAGAAACCAGTTAGACCTAAAATAGTGTATTTCTTTGAAAGAGGTGATTCTTTGAAACAAGAATTAGGTGAAGAAAATGTAAATGGAAAGGAAGATGACATTGTAGAAAGTTCTGATAAAATAGACAGTATATCTAGTTCTAAGCATGGAGTGAAAAGACCCCATGATGGAAAGGTAAGAATTAAAAAATTGATTCTATGAATTGTTTCAAGTGCATTTTATTATGTGCCCGAATATATTTCGATGTTTTATTGTTATGCACCATGTAGTCCACCTGTTGACAATTTTGTATTCAGCCTGTATCTTTTGAACCAATGGAAGACAATTAAAACTACTTGGCAGAAATGTTAACCATAATGAATTGATGTGCAGAGGGCAGGATTGACCTCCTAAGGTCAAGATCACACATACAGGGCTTCCTTTAAGTTCCAAAATTTGGAAGTTAAAGAGTGCAAAATGTCTGACATTGGAAGTCACATTACATATAAAATAGATAAAGAAGAAAAAGCATAATATTTGGGAAGTCACAGATCAAAATCAGGAGTAAAAGACTCCCAAACTTCCACTCATGGAAGCCCTGCACACATAGTCATTTTGAATCCAATTCAAAATTTTGTGTCCACTGTAACATTTAAGTCTTATTTAGTGTAGCTACAATGTGTCATATATTGCAAGCTGACACAATTTTACTTGTATAATCTTTTGCAATCACAAGAAGTAGATGTGTTTCTACACACTTTTATGATAGAATATTAAAGTAATTATGTAGTAGTAATACTAAATAGTTATATAATATGGTATAACTCTATAATTGTATGTTATATGGAAATATGTGTTTGTTTTACATGTAAAGATAAGAAATTTGTTTCACAAAATGAACCATAGAAGATGCAATATTTTAATGATTAATGTAGCTGCTTGCATTCAAAAGAAACTTAATTTCATTTCACATTTTATTGAATGTACAAAATTATGAAATAAATGAATGTGATACAATATGATAGCTAATTCACATGCAACTCTATCATGATTTGATATGATCGTAATTTGACATGATGATATTGTATATAAGATGTGATGGTTAAATTATTATATAGAATGACAGACATTTGAAACAAAGGAAGGTAGAGAACACAACTAAACCATCATCTAGTGGTGATGGCAGTAATGGAGCCAGATTGAAGGAATGTGCTGATATGGTCGTAAAATATCTCACACCTCATTTTAAAGCTGGACAAATAGCTTCCAAGGTGCATTTCTATAATTTGGGTAGTGTAGTTTTAGAAGTAAAATATAAGATTCATCATAAATTGTTTGATAATTAAGGAAAGGATTTTTTAAATAGAAACTGTTCAGATATAAAACATGAAACAAAGTTTGTTAATTATAGTAAAGTTGTCTGTTAAAATGTAAATTGATTTTAAGTGAATTATATCTTGTGATAATATGTATGTAAAGATATGATTTTTGAGGCATTTAAACATGATTGTTTTCTCATTTTAGAAAAGTTTGTATATATTATTAAAGTCTGCAAGTTGTTTAAAATAAAAGATTGTGAATAAGAGATTATTAGTTGATAATATTATATTGATTCATTTGAAAATACATTACGACTGTTTCCATATTATAAAGGAATTATTTAAGAAGACTGCCAAATTGCTATCACATAAAGTTGTGGAGAAAACTAAAGACAAGTCGAAAGAAAAAGGTAAATTTTCTGCCGATTTTCATGTATGTGCAATTCTTTTGTGTTGAATATATTGGTAAAGTATTATTTTAACGTAACTTAAAAATGAAATTTAGTTTGACCTATTTCAGATAATGAAATACCCACATTAATGTGCTCAAAAGAGGAACACCAGGTATTTGTGGAGTTAAATGACAAAGCAATTTAAAATTGTTATGAATGAAAATATAAAAAAAAGAATAAAAGTTTACATGAATGAATGTGAATTACTGGTCCATTATTTAAACATCTTTTGTTACAAGTCACTTGTCCCTTACTGTTGTTAACTAATATCCTGTCTTGATGAAAGCTATTCAGTTATATCACATGTATTATGGGTTCAGGTCTTTTATAAGAGGCAGTTGAAATTTTCTTTAAAGTCATTCTGATTCCCCATAAAATCCAAACTTACACCAGGTTTTTTCTTTCCCAAATTAGCATTTTTAGTGGGAATTTTTCCCAAAATGAAGGGGCTAAGGCTTTTTACCAATAACATGAATAAAGAGAGAGAAACAATGATTGCCAAAGGTTCTACTCAGTATGTGCCTCAAACAATGTGAGGAAAGGTGTCTTGAGTTTTCATCCACCAGTAAAGCAGGACCACAGCCATATAACCTTAAACCATAACATACACAATGTATACTGGCATGCGAGCAGTTCCCGTACAAAAATCGTAGTTACTTAAACATTATTTTTTATTACGCTCACTCACCAAAATATGAATGTTACACATCAATATTCGGCTCGTCACACAAATCATGGAAATTCCATCATGTTCTAAATATAGAATAACCCTTAGTTATGAGGCCTCATATGGGGTACCGAAATTATCCATTATTTTGTATGAAGAGAAGTAGTTCCCGTACATAAAATTTAACCCATTATAATTATACAATTTTATTATATCGGACCTATTTTTAGCTCACCTGTCACAAAGTGACAGGGTGAGCTTTTGTGATCGCTTTTCGTCCGGCGTCCGTCCGTCCGTCGTCCGTAAACTTTTGCTTTAAATGACATCTCCTCATAAACCACTAAGCCAATTTAATCCAAACTCCACAGGAATGTTTCTTTGGTGGTCACCTTTGAAAATTGTTCAAAGAATTTAATTCCATGCAGAACTCTGGTTGCCATGGCAACCAAAAGAAAAAACTTTAAACATCTTCTTCTAAAAAACCCAAAGAGCTAGAGCTTAGATTTTTGGCATGAAACATCTTCTGGTGAGTGTCTACCAAGTTTGTTCAAATAAAAGCCCTGGGGTCAAAATTGGCCCCGCCCCAGGGGGTCATTGATTTTCCCTATATGCATATAGTAAAAACTTAAAAAATTTTCTTCTAAAAAACCCAAAGAGCTAGAGCTAAGATTTTTGGCATGAAACATGTTCTAATGGATGTCTACCAAGTTTGTTCAAATAAAAGCCCTGGGGTCAAAATTGACCCCGTCCCAGGGGGTCATTGATTTTCCCTATATGCATATAGTAAAAACTTAAAAAAATTTCTTTTAAAGAACTCAAAGAGCTATAGCTAAGATTTTGAGCATGAAACATCTTCTAATGGGTGTCTACCAAGTTTGTTCAAATAAAAGCCTTGGGGTCAAAATTGGCCCCGCCCCAGGGGGTCATTGATTTTCCCTATATGCATATAGTAAAAACTTAAAAATCTTCTTTAAAGAACCCAAAGAGCTAGAGCTAAGATATTTAGCATGAAACATGTTCTAATGGATGTCTACCAAGTTTGTTCAAATAAGAGCCCTGGGGTCAAAATTGGCCCCGCCCCAGGGGACATTGATTTTCCTTATATATGTATAGCAAAAACTTAAAAATCTTCTTTGAAAAAACCCAAATAGCTAGAGTTTAGATATTAAGCATGAAACATCTTCTAGTAAGTGTCTACAAAGTTTGTTTAAATAAAAGCCCTGGGTTCAAAATTGGCCCTACCCCGGGGGTCATTGATTTTCCTTATATGTGTATAGCAAAAACTTAAAAAATCTTCTTTGAAAAAAACCAAATAGTTAGAGTTTAGATACTAAGCATGAAACATCTTCTAGTGAGTGTCTACCAAGTTTGTTCAAATAAAAGCACTGGGGTTAAAATAGGCCCCGCCCCGGGGTCATTCCTTTTCCTTATATGTGTTATACAAAAACTTTAAAAAATCTTCTTTGAAAAAACTCAAATAGCTGGAGTTTAGATATTAAGCACGAAGCATCATCTAGTGAGTGTCTACAAAGTTTGTTCAAATAAAAGCCCTGGGGTCAAAATTGGCCCTGCCCCGGCTGACATTGATTTTCCTTATATGTGTATAGCAAAAAATTAAAAGTCTTCTTTGAAAAAACCCGAATAGCTAGTGTTTAGGTATTAAGCATGAAACATTTTCTAGTAAGTGTCTACAAAGATTGTTCAAATAAAAGCCCTTGGGTCAAAACTGGCCCTGCCCCAGGTGTGTCATTGTTTTTAACTATATGTGTAAAGAAAAAAACTTGACTAGCTAGACCTTGGATGTTAAGCATGAAATATCTTCTAATGGGTGTCTACCAAGTTTGTTCAAATAAAAGCCCTGGGGTTTAAACTGGCCCCGCTCCGGGGGCCTATATACAGGTGAGCGACTTCAGGGCCATCATGGCCCTCTTGTTTATTTATAATTGTTGAACAGACCATTTTCTAAGAGATAAATAGATGTAATTCAGGAAATAGAAAGTAGACTAAACGCGTGTATCTATTACCCGGTACCGTTACCCCCAACGCATTCACATGCGATGGCATGCTTGTATGCATGAAATTTTACGCATCAAAGCCATAAAATTATTTTATATAGTAATATTGGTCAAAATTCTGATAATTAAACAAGTTTTCATCACATTGCCTTCTTATCTGTAAGCAGGTGGTATAAGTGGAAAACCCTTTAACATGCCTCACGTGTAAGTATGTTTGCGCATGCGCGCAAGGACGGAATCCCCCAGATAAAACAAGGTCACGTTTTGACAACGCACAGGTGAAAGTGATTTAAAATGATACATTATACGTACTGCCGAACTGACACTTAGATTTTGTCTCGTTTATGTATCTGCTTGATTTGAAATTAATTTTTGAAGAATGCATGTAAAAATCAAGCGTTTAAATGAAAAATACGGGTACTGCTTCTGTACGGGAACTGCTCGCATGCCAGTATATGTTTGTTTTTGGCAATGTGTTATGAACAACAAGAATATATGTATATTTCAGTGACTATATGTATATTTCAGTGAAAGAAGTTGTGAAGGTACTGATAAAGGACTTGCTTAAAAAGCATCCAAAGATTACCTCAGAAGACATGTTGTCGTAGTGAACACATTTGCCAAAGTGAACACATTTGTCATAAAAATATCAACTTTGGAGTATACAATTAGCTCATTGATGCACCAGGTGCTTATTTTGGTGTTATTGTTTCTGTGCATCAGCAGATATCAGTTGTTTGTCTTTAATCCTTAGCCAGATCACAGCAAATAAATCTCCCCATGTGACCGATTCTGACCAAGATCTGCCAACACATCATTAGATCATGGTCTGCACTGTTTGCTTTTCAGTTAGTAGTTATTTTAAATTTTCCCAAAAATGATGAATGGTCTTGTCCAAAATAAAAGATGGACAAGTCCATTTAAGATATTTAGTGTAAAAAGGTTTAAAATGGTTTTCTATTAAAGTAGGTGAGCAATTAAGCTCTAACCGGCTTATTCAGTGTTTTTTTAGCTCACCTGTCACAAAGTGACAGGGTGAGCTTTTGTGATCGCTTTTCGTTCGGCGTCCGTCGTCCGTCCGTAAACTTTTGCTTTAAATGACATCTCCTCATAAACCACTGAGCCAATTTCATCCAAACTTCACAGGAATGTTCCTTTGGTGGCCACCTTTAAAAATTGTTCAAAGAATTTAATTCCATGCAGAACTCTGGTTGCCATGGCAACCGAAAGAAAAATCTTTAAATATCTTCTTTTAAACAACCCTAGGAGCTAGAGCTTAGATATTTGGCATGAAACATCTTCTAATGAGTGTCTACCAAGTTTGTTCAAATAAAAGCCCTGGGTCAAAATGGCCCCGCCCCAGGGGGTCATTGATTTTCCCTATATGCATATAGTAAAAACTTAAAAAATCTTCTTTTAAAGAACCCAAAGAGCTAGAGCTAAGATATTTGGCATGAAACATCTTCTAGTGAGTGTCTACCAAGTTTGTTCAAATAAAAGCCCTGGGGTCAAAATTGGCCCTGCCCCAGGGGGTCATAGATTTTTCCCTATATGCATATAGTAAAAACTTAAAAAAATCTTCTTTTAAAGAACCCAAAGAGCTAGAGCTAAGATATTTGGCATGAAACATCTTCTAGTGAGTGTCTACCAAGTTTGTTCAAATAAAAGCCCTGGGGTCAAAATTGGCCCCGCCCCGGGGGTCATTGATTTTCCCTATATGCATATAGTAAAAACTTAAAAAATCTTCTTTTAAAGAACTGTAAGAGCTAGAGCTTAGATATTTGGCATGAAGCATCTTCTAGTGAATGTCTACCAATTTTGTTCAAATAAAAGCCCTGGGGTCAAAATTGGCCCCGCCCCAGGGGGTCATTGATTTTCCCTATATGCATATAGTAAAAACTTAAAAATCTTCTTTTAAAGAACCCAAAGAGCTAGAGCTAAGATATTTAGCATGAAACATGTTCTAATGAGTGTCTACCAAGTTTGTTCAAATAAAAGCCCTGAGGTCAAAATTGGCCCTGCCCCAGGGGGTCATAGATTTTCCCTATATGCATATAGTAAAAACTTAAAAAATCTTCTTTTAAAGAACCCAAAGAGCTAGAGCTAAGATATTTGGCATGAAACATCTTCTAGTGAGTGTCTACCAAGTATGTTCAAATAAAAGCCCTGGGGTCAAAACTGGCCCCGCCCCGGGGGTCTTTGATTTTCCTTATATGTGTATAGCAAAAACTTAAAAATCTTCTTTGCAAAAAACCCAAATAGCTAGAGTTTAGATATTAAGCATGAAACATCTTTAAGTAAATATCTACAAAGTTTGTTCAAATAAAAGCCCGGGGGTCAAAACTGGCGCTGCCCCAGGGGTGTCATTGTTTTTATGTGTATATATATATATATATATAAAGTAAAAACTTAAAAAACCTTCTATGAATTGACAAAGGGTAGAGGTTAGATATTTGGCATGAAACATTGTGTAGTGGAACTCTGCCAAGATTGTTCAAATTATAGCCCTAGGGTCAAAATTGGCCCTGTCATAGGTTTTCTTTATATGAATATTAAGTTAAAACTGTTCCCATCCACAAACTTTAACCTTGATCATTACTTTAAAGTTTTTGGTGTATTGTCTTAAAACATCAACTTTTTACCTACACAAAAAATTAACCCTGTTTTGTGTATTGTTAAGGCCTAGTAACTTTTCTTTTGTATATCACTTGCATTTAGTACTCAGGTGAGGGCATTGGGGCCAATGGCCCCCTTGTTGTTAGTATTCACTATTTTGTTTTATGAGGACATGGCTACATGCTTAAAATTTTGCTTGTTTGTTCTATGGTGGAATGTAAAATAAGTAAAAAAAAAGAATCAAGATATTGAATTTGTTCTCCTTTATGTGCCATTAAACTCTTTTTTTTCTGTAAAACAATTTCCACATCTAATGTTTTCTTGTGTAATATTTAGTTATATCTTCTGGGAATTCACAAAAATTGACTTTCTATTATAATTGATAAGGAAAGAATACACCCACTTTGCGTGTGAGAATTTCCTCTGGCAATTTTTTCTTGATGAGAGAGAGTTGTTTTTGATGTTTATTAAATACAGAAATTCCCTATTGTATTGCTAGAGAAACTTGTTAACATTGATTTATGTTTTAAGTTTGTGTCCTGAATTTATCATCAGATAGAAATTAAGAAATTGACGCATTAGTGCAATAACTGGTTAACTCTTATTTAATTTAGAAGGATTTAATTCTTTACTGCACTAAGGCGATGAAATTACTCTCAGCAGGTCTGATTCATTGATAAATGAATCATCTTGAAGTATTTCTGGGGGAAAATGAGACAATTATGTGTTCTCCTGCACTTATATCTTAAAAAACACCTCCCCCTTTTACTTCAAATTATGCTTATTTATTTTTTACTATTTGTTTCTAACAGGATTTATTTCAGACTTAAAGTGATAGTTCCCTATCATCAGGTGCAATACAATAACACCATTGTATGGTCAATACATTTCTACAAAATTTGATACCAAATTTGCCAGTATTTTGCTCTTGTATGTATACAGAATTTTATGAAGTCAAGTGCACGCATTCTTTTGCAACTGAGTATAGTTCAGTAAATTACGATGGGTTCAGAAAATTACTTTACTTTTCTTAAGTATTTCATGTAAAAATGTAACTGGGATGATTTTATGGTATTTTATTTTGACTGTAATGTCCAGTTATTACAGGTGCTTATTTTCTCCCTACATGATAGTCTTTTGACAATGTAATTTCTGGCATGAAAGTGATATATAAATTTGTCATATTTTATTGTTTATGTTGCACATTTATGTTTTGTTGGAATTGAAATAAAAGTGATGCATCATGATAAAATCTATTCATTTGTGTAATCCCTATTTGTGCCGGTATCTATCTGCATTGTTTGGTATAACATTTGACAAACAATCATACACACTGGTGGTTTAGAAACATGTATGTATTCTATATTTAATGAGAATCCATCAGCCTGTGAAAGGCACATAGCAGCTTTCGCTGTCTAGTACGGACCACGGACATATCACCAATCATGCCTTTAAAGTGTTAATTTTGAAGCACAAAGTGGGTGAATTTACCTCCATGCAATTTCCACGGAGTATAGGCCAAAGATATGAATTTTGAACCAAAATATAGGTCATTATACAATGGCCGATGAGAACCTAAATGTATATGGTAAGAGGTGGTCCTGAAAAGAGCTGTTGGAACCAAGCAAAGAGCCTGTCTTTGAAGCCGTCGCTGCTAGGGGATGACGCATGTACTGCTCGTATTATACTGTATATTCATAACATTAAAAATAATCAATCATCGGAACTGTAGCAATGAATTATTTGAATAAAACATAAGCTGCAACTTCTTAGGGAAGATCTATAGATTTGACATTGTCTTTTTTTTGTCCTGCGTGGAATGGTCGATGGGGGGATCCGAGCCCCGTGGACACATGTCTGGTTTTTGTTTTTTGTTGTTTTTTTATAAATTCATTAATTTATTTATTTAACAAAGTTCGATGTTTCTACCTACTTGACTTGGCCCACCAATGATTGAAATAGTGCATAGATTGGAAATGAGTTTCTTCACCAGTAACGTGGCTATAAACTTGCTGGTATTGTTGAGTTTTTCAATTCATCATTTATATCTATTACTGGCTTCCAACCCAATAACAAATCAAGCGAACAATGCAGGATTGCACCCTGCATTGCAATATACATTTCTCTAGAATATAACAGCTGGAGTGTCATATCTTGTGTATAATTGGGTTTAAATAATGCAACATGTAAAACTATCTCGTTTTAATTTAAAATTAGTACAAACGGAATATAATTGAATCAATGTGTCATGAAAATTTGATTTCAGCTATCTTGTTGGTTAAATTAAGATGTATATATAAGTAAAACGCAATTAACCTTTTTTTCAGGTGGCAATGTAATACACCTTTCAATTGTGTATCCATTGTATCACTTTGTTTTATGTATGCAATATTCTTAGATTGGAATGAAAAAACTGATCAAAATGTCGTCTAATGATACCTAAAATAGAAAACTTTTGTATGCGCCCTTTGGTCATTGAATTATTATTCCCGCATATTTTCGTATATCTGTTATAAATGTCAATTCATCTTTTAAGTTCTTACCGCTTATCCCAAAATTACTGTTTCCTGGGTGAAATAACTTGAAATCACGTCTTTTAAAGCCTTAATTTATATGATAAATTGTAGTAATCGTCTTGTGAAATGCAACATCGGTTACTATGGAAAATTCGTATAGTAAAAAAGTCTATAGTAATGTTGACAACGGTTTGAAATTGACAATTAGCACGCTTAATAATAAATTTAAATTTTTTAAATTAATATTTGCTGAATTGATATGTTTGGTCTTGCCAAACTGATTTGCTTTCAAAACTAATGCACTAGTTAAAACACTAGCAGCAGTGAAGTTTTATCTCCAACAGCACTATTCAACAGATGAAATAAAATACACAGTGCACCTCTGTACAGCAACTACCTCTTTATCATTGTAGAGCAACTGCATCTAACATCTCTGTAATTATGGTAAATTCTTTCCCCAGAGGTAATATTAGGCAATGACTTACCTACCTAGAGCAACGCCCCTTGTCTCCATAAGGGTAATGCTCTGTAGCGGTTAATACAGTACATCATTATTTTAAACACGGTGTTTTGTTGGCATAGATAAAATTTTACGGTGCACAATAAAAACTTTTCATTCCACTGATTTATTCCCAGTGTCACTAGTTTCGACAGTGGTTTTATCACTAGATTCTGTCGCTTGTACTGTATTATGTGGTACACCACGGCAGTTTAACATTATCTTTCTCAACAGTTTCTGTATTCGACCAAGATCTGTTTTCTCTAACGGAATATTTAACTTTGCAACTCGTCTTATTTCTTCTTTAAACTTCTTATTAGCTTCAACAAGCTCTCTGGAAAGATTAAAAATTATTCTAAATCTTAAATCAACTTTACATAAAAGTAGGCGACGTTTTGAAAACGGAGAATACATGCAATACCAAAGTATAGAATATTAATTTAAACAAAAACAAAACAAAAATGTGATATATATTTGCCTTCATTTTGTTGTAGTTAATCATTTCAGCTCATTTGTTTCGGACAGCATTTTGTCTACGCAAATTTTGCTTGCTCGTTCTATTTGTCGACGCAACGTTCTCAAATTGATATGGTAGTAAAGTCACATGCTCTTTACTGGTATCTATCATAAAGGAGTTGTTCGTATCTCTACTGGTTTGCCAATCTGACTTAAGTTTAGATCTACTGAAGTTCTTTCTTGCATGTAGCAATGATTAAAATCTGATTTTAATAAGACTGCTGCTTTGTCTTACTTTTACAACAGTTAAGATGCACAAGTATTGATCAAAAGCTAAAAATCTCGCATATCTGTAGAAATATCATTACCTTTTTTATACATGCACATACATTTTTTTGGATAAAATTCATGGAATTTAAGCGGAATTCAATTACAATATTTCTTATACTTGTAATGAGAAATATTATACATACATATAATCAATTTCCCCGTTTTTATCTGTGTCACAGGCTTTCACAAATTTCTCCAACGTTTTTGTCTTGAGAGGAATGTTCATGACCTTGAGAATAAAAAATAACAATAACGAGAAAAAAAAATATTTGTATTTCTGAACAAATTAATACGCTGTTTGATAATATAATTAAGCGTTTCATATGCAAGTCAAATTTGGATATTTTTATTTGTTACTGTCAGAACAGAATTAACGGATCCAGCTAGAAGTGATATAATATGTAATAGTTGACAAAAGATGGTGACGGAAAGCTGGTGAAATTAAATAAGGTTAACTAGAAAATTGTCTTCAACAATTTCAAAATCTTGTACAAAATACCAACCAACTAATGTACGCTGCATCATAACCGAAGCCACAATCATATTTATTATTACAAGAAAGAACTGTGTGGAAATAGGTCACCACAGTTCTGTTAAGACGCATGAAAAAAAATCAAAAGAAAATTCGCGTTTTATTATGAATTTATGACAATACAAACAACCACTGACTAAAATCATTTCTAATGTAATGGTAAACTTCTGCGGTAAAGGAAACTGGCATTGTTTACCTTGTTAACTTCTGCGGTAAAGGAAACTGGCAATATTTACCTTGAGACCTTCCTGGAATTCCATGACACTGATTCCTTTACTTTTGTCAGTGTCCATCTGATGAAACAAGTCGACCAAGCGTAGTTTTTGTAATCTCATAAACTCCATCAATACATAATGCGGATTCTCATTTAATAAAGCCAATTCGTCTTCTGTTTGGTCCTGAAAATATATACAAGTTACATAATAAATAAGATGTTATTCATTCATTTAGAATATAAAGAACTTGAAAAAAATGAAATTCTACTGGAATATTTGTTCAAACTTATTCTAAACTTCTTTAATGAATGAAAGAGTTGTTGACTGGACACACAATTGGGATTATGACAGACAATGATAAAGCTTTGGCCTCTTAGCGTGACCTTGACATTGATGCAAAGTTATTTCAAAATCCCTTGATGATAAAAATAGTATGGACTGACACGAAATATACACTCAATCAGACAATGTTGACATGCATTTGATCTCCAAATGTGACTTTGACCTTGAAGCTAGGGGTTTTGGTGTTGCATCGTCTTATAATGATGAATATTTGTGACAGGTTATTTCAAAATCTCTTGATGAAATGCCGAGTTACGTCCGGACACGAAGTGCGACGGACGGACAGACCGGTTGACTTTTCTCCCGAGTTGACGTTATGAGGTCATTCCTTTATCTTCCTTGAATTCTAAAACCACGTAGCAACCTTTAATTTTAGCCCATAAGTTCCCCCACAAATACAGTATGTAGGGAAAGAACACGGATATTCATCCCATAATATCGCTTGAGTCCGTGTGGACAGTCAGACGGACGGACTGAGTTATATACATCAATATCTCCTTGTTTCTTCGGAGTGTCGGGGGAACAATGAACCAAACGTTAATGAGTTTTCAGATTATTGTTATCAACCCTAATTTTGATGTTTATAACTCAGTGACCTTTTAACCATTAACACATCCTAAGAAAGGTAAGTTTTGTACCTGTTTTCCAATAGGTTCCCTATCTTTAGTCCAAACCATTCCATATTGTATGTCTATCTGTCTCGTCTGCTGCAGCTCCTTCAACAAAGATACAAACTCTTCCTTCACGTGCTGGTCCTGTGTCAGATGGGGGAAAGAAATGAGTACATAAAAACGTATAGAAATACATTGTAGCATAAACTTTCAAGTGCTTTTTTGTCGAATGGACATTTTGGCAGAATTTATTATAAGTCGTCTACAAGTTATTAAAAGTGCAAAAACTATAGCAATGGCTGTTGACATATTTTACGCTTTCCCTTCCCATGTATAATGAATATAGTAAAATGCTATTTGCTTGAATTATACCCCTTATTAAAACACAAAACATTTTTTTCTTTTTATTATCACCACCACCACCACCACCATATGTAATATCATTATTATAATACCATTATTATTATTAAAATTATAATTATCACTCAAAGATGTGGCTATATGCGAAAGTTTTGTCATTTTGGGTGTTTATAAACAATTGTGATAACTTACGCCCAAGTCAATATAGTTGAGACCAATTGTAGGGTGTTTCTGTAGTTGATTCAGAACTGCCATTACACCAGTGTCTGTGATATGATTCCGAGATATCTGTAAATACAATATAATACATTCTATATACCTTTGACTCATAATTATATCACTACATGTATAACCAACAAGGTGTGGCGTTGTGTTCAGCATTTTTAAAAAGATTTTTAAAGAATTGACGAAGAGGCGGGAAGGTAAGGGTTCGTGGCCGAGTGGTTAAGGTTGTTGACTTCAAACCACTCGCCGCTGTGGGTTTCAATCCAGTCAAGAACTTTTTCGGATAGCTTACGGTGGGGGGTTCTACTCAGGTTCCCGTCCGTGCCTGAAATAATGCACAAAGGGACACCCGAGATCTTCCTCCGTCAGTAAAGCTTGAAAGTCGTGATATGACCTCTTCTGTGTTGGTGTGACGTAAAAGCCAGCCCAAAATTGCAGCTTTAGGTTTGCACATAATAACATAATATCAAACCTTCATACACCTTCACGTAAAAAAGACAACAACAACAAAAACAACAATAACAAAAAGCATTATAACAGATGTGTATAATCGACAAGGGAAAACTGTGTTGAAAAGTAAATTGTTGGATACAAGTTAAACAATGTGTCGTCTATTTCTTAATATTTCACCAACCTTGAGTTTCTTTAATGCTGTATTTTTCTCCAATCCTTTAAGAAGTTGTGCCAAACAAACCTCTGACAGTCTGTTGCACGAGATATCGAGATCTGTGAGCGCTTGATTTTTTGCCAATGACGTTGATATACAAGATACGCCATGTATGTAGAATCCGTTCCATGCGACGTTCAACACCTCTAGATTTATGTTGTTCTAAAATTAATAGAATAAATTGATAATGAATAAAAATATAAAGACATTGTTACCTGTACCAGCGCTGATTGAGACGTTTGCATGTTTGAATTTTCAGCTCATCGTATCAAAGGAGAACAATATCTATTTAAATTCATTGTACATATAATCTGAAACACCTGTTTGGTACAAAGTTCGCTCTGTATTAAAGCAGCATGCCTCCAGATTCATGCTAATTTTCATGAACATTTTGAAAATGTATTTAAACGAAAAAAATTGTGAAGTGAAAAAAGAAAGTAATTTACACATTGCAAACGGCACTTACAACCCATGTAAATTACCAAAAAGTGGTCAAATATACATAAATACCTCTTAATGTGTTAGTAACGCAGTAGAATTATAGTGAAAAATCAGTCATTAATCGCACATAAGATGTTAATAATTAATTAAATATTGAATCTTTTTTCTCTTCTTAAGATCTTAATACATTTTTCTGAAGATTGAATTTCTTGAAATATTTTTGGCTCATCTGGAGGCGTGCAGCTTTAAAGAAAGTCATAGTTTTTAAGATGGTCGACAAATAACCGTATTCCTCAACAAGTTAGAGAAAATACATGTATCTATATCTACATGTATTAAATCGAAAACATTCTATTCTTTATTACTGGAAACATTATGTATTTGAAGAAATGACCACACAGGCCCAATAGAAATTTTATACACTGTATAAAAGCACAATATACATTGTTCATTACTCACCTCAAGTGCTTTCCCTATGGCTTGCGCACCTTTCAGACGGAGGTGATTCCAGCTAACGTCGAAAACTCGCAAGAAATCGTTTTGTTCTGAAATAGCAGACTTACGGTCGTGTTTTAAATGTATGAGACTACAATATTATATTATCTTGAACTGACTTATTTACAAAGTCCATCTAATTGTACTTGTAGTTGAAATATTGAGTTTTTTTATATATGAGTAATATCTTCCCGTGAGATTCTGGCCCTGAGTATAAATATCTCAAAATCTAGCTTTGAAACGTCAAAATATTCCGGATACTTTATTAGCTAGCTTATATTTTTGTATTTCATTTTTTCAAGCAGTATGCCTCGACATTCATGCTTATTTTCGTAATTTGTTTTAAATGTATTTAAATGTTAAATATTATCATATACACAAAGAATGTATTAAATTACTTGTACTCTTGTTTTCCGGTACATGTTGGATCATTACTGTTCTGTCATTTGCTTAGCAAAGAGATTATCAATATATTATTTTTATATCAACCTAATGTTATTATATATACATGTTAACAAACCTATCTTGTCTTAGGCTTTCATATAAAAATGTAACTTGTATCCCTACCTAAACCCTCGCCGAGAAGTTCCCCACCTTGTTCCCGGAAATAATTGTGTCCTAGATATAGTTCATTGAGAGCACTGTTTTCCTGGTACAGAAAATAACACCAGGTGATTTATTTAAATGATGAGGAACATCAGTTGTCTAGAAACTGAGTGCATCTTACAATAAAGGTAAATAGTTTCTTGCTAGGCAACAGTGACAGTAAATGGTGTAAATATCTAAAAAAAAATAATGAATGATGAACAGTTTGTTTTTAACAATAATTAGGTCCATAGGGTAGACTTAGAATAGCTTTGAAAATAAACAAAAATAAATTCAGAGATCAGGAAAAAGAATTTCCTAATTTGACTGACTCTAAAATGAGTTTCATTTTAAATGCCTATATCATGGTCAACTTCAAGATTAGAAGTTATTAGTACGTAAAATTGAAGAAAGAAAGAAAGAAAGAAAGAAAGAAAGAAAGAAAAGAAAGAAAGAAAGAAAGAAAGAAATAAAGAAAAGAAAGAAAGAAAGGAAGAAAGAAAGAAAAGAAAAGAAAAGAAACAAACAAACAAAAAAAGAAACAAACAAAGAATCAAAATAGAAAAAAAACAAGAAATGATTAACTTTAGAATTAGAACCTATTTTACTACTTTAACATTAAAGAAAGAAAGAAAGAAAGAAAGAAAGAAAGAAAGAAAGAAAGAAAGAAAGAAAGAAAGAAAGAAAGAAAGAAAAGAAAGAAAAAAGAAAAAAGGAAAAAAAGAAAGAATGGAAAAAAGAAAGAATATTAAAAAAAAACAGAAGAAAGAAATACATACAATCATAAGCTCCTTGAAATATTTTCCTGACTCCTCGGTAAACTGGTTGCCGGTAAGATCTAATATTCTCACATTATGGTTCTTTAGTAAACTTTTACATATTGCCTCCGCTCCTTCACAACCAAGACTGTTCCAAGTAATTCTCTTAATATAATAATGAATTTTGTTATTACATGTGAATAATCAAAAAGCTGCAATATCATTTTTAATGAAGTCGCAAAATGTATATGTAAATATAGAATGCTGTTTCTTGTACAAAAAGCAGAACAAAAACATCTGGAAAAAGACATCTCTCGGAAGCATTAATTATAATGAAAATTGCAGACTCGGCAAAAAAATGTCAAACATTTTATTTTCAAGAACTCTTAAATATCGTTCCTTATTAATGTAGATCAGGAAACGACAACGGACGTTTTATTGCTAGGAACGACAAATGAAGGCTATGAGTGACCTATGACTACAAAAGCGCTATGAGCGACAACTTTAGTTACTGCTACCAATATAATTACGTACAATTTCTGTGAGATAAATATTCCGTTCAAGCACGTCACTGAAATATTTGCCAGCGTCTGGTCCGATCTCATTACCATCAAATTCTATTGCTTCGCAATTCGAATTTCCCTGAAAATAAATGTATGAGTGCCTTAAAAATAACTTTCCTACTTTGTAATGCATTATATTGTTGGCTATTCTAATATTGACATACTATTAAGAAAAAAATGGCAGTTCATCGTTAAAAGAAAGATAAAACATTTATGCAAATAAATTATTTGAAGATTGAAATGCAAAAACAAAAAGAACGGAAATGATGGTATAAATGTGAGAAAAAAATGTGTATTAAGCATGTTCAGCGGGCAACAGACGACAGCAACTTCAATGCATAAATTTATTGTTAAACCATAGATTTGGTCAGAGAGTTTTATTTGATAGATATTTGAGCCGCGTCACGACAAAACCAACACAATGGGTTTGCGACCAGCATGGATCCAGACCAGCCTGCGCATCCGCGCAGTCTGATCAGGATCCATCCTGTTCGCTATTAGTTATTCTACTTGTAATAGAGTTGGTAAGCGAACAGAATGGATCCGGATCAGACTGCGCGGAAGCGCAGGCTGGTCTGGATCCATGCTGGTCGCAAACCCATTGTGTTGGTTTTGTCGTGACGCGGCTCATTTGTCATTCCAGCATATAATAATTTGGAATTTGCTGACATAGTCACAAAAAGTGTTTGGGTTTCCAATTGCAATGAAGGTGAAATCATTATATAACTAAAATTTGTAATAGAAAAAGGACAGAAAATATTTCAATCGCATTACTATAAACAAAGGATTGTATTTAATGATTTTTCTTTTTTTTTATTTTCCTTCAAAAAAATTTGGCTTACACCATTGCGTTTGAGGAAAGTGAAGATTGTTACAAAACATGTGATTATTATTAACTTACCACGAGCGCTATATTACAGGCCTTCACGTCATCCTTTAACATTACAATTCCTTTGCACGTCATTTTCTCCTTGACAAGTCCTTCAAATACATTCCTGATAGACGCTATCTTCATTTCTTTACATGCCATCAGATAATATTTCTGACTAAGTTCAGTATCATCTACCGGGCAGTCTATGTCTTCATCCGCTGAAAAATATAGTCCCCAGATAAAAAAAAATATGTGAATAGTATTTGTACGACTTTTGTTGTTGGGAACAATTATATAATGGTTAAAGTACCTGCATGTCAGTCCTGGATTCGAGCCATACATGGGTCACGACTGTTACCAATAAATACAATTCCAACTTACAGACTGGTTATATTAGTGATAACATTCTGTTTTTACAACCGAGCTTAAATGAATTCATTTATGTTTAAACTACTAGTAATTACGAAGAGGCCGGGTCATGTATCCTAGGCATGGGCGAGACGAAACCGCTTTTGAGCCAGCCACTGCCAAATATAACTTGTGTTCAACTAGCTGATCTAATATAAATATTGAAGTAAAACTTAGTTTTAAGAACGTAGGTCCATAATTCAATTCCGAGTCATCATCACCACCACTATCACCGTTACCATCGTCGTTCTCGTTGACATCATCATCATCATCATCATTTACAGCTTTTTTATCACCACCACAACTATCAACACCACCATCATCATAATCAAACATGTTGTACCCCATACATATATTTATAGATTTATTACTTTAAAATCCGTGAAATAAAACTGTCCAAGAGCACTTCATGAGACCAATTGCACAGATGTGTCACGGGAAAGTACAAAGGCCTTTATGATTACATAATGATACTAATATATTCGGAGAACGACATCTTTTAACTACCTACCATCAAAATCAAAGTCTTCATCTTCTTCAGCTAGTGCGGAACCGTTCGAATATGACCTATCACGTGATACCATGTCGTCTGCAGGTTTTGTGATGCCGGTCTTTCCGGATTGTGATCCGCCAGGTTTTCGTTTCCGAGTCAGTTTTCTCATCTCCGGGCGATTTGGCGACTGAGCCAACCTGTATTTACAGGCCAGCGATGTCGCGGATACTGCACGATTGTCACGTAAAGCACACATATTTTATTGTTGATCTTGTCTTTGTTTCTTTCGTTAAAAATATCCACTCGAAAAAAAATCACTAGAACAATTTTTTTTGTGAAAATTCCAATTCCAACAGTCTAACAATGTTAATTATATGGAATTTTCCGAAAATCAAGCATTTCACTCTTGTTATACAATTGTAATAATGAAAACACATTAAAATCCTGGTTCGACCGTAAATTATTCGATTTATATTATATCTTTCATGTGTTAGTAAACTTGTGGTCAAAGGTCAGCATTAATTTTCTATTCATGTTTTTTTTCTTGAGGTCATCTTAATAATATTTATCTTAAGGTCATATTAATCTTTTAATCCCTCTTATTAACGCTTTATATTGAACGAGAATTTTAATTAAGCAAAGATTTAGTTAAAATCGCCATAATCACTGTTAATCTTAACACATTTTCAAAACAAGGAGCACAACTGCAACATACTATTTGATAGGTTGTTCGTGATTGCCTCCCTTGTAACAGTATGTTCTCTTGTCACATGTTTAAATTTTTCTCTCAAGTTCTGTAAAATTATAGTTTTTTTGATATTATAATAGTAGAAATTGTAACGCTACATTGACTCAATGACTACATTTTTGCGTATTCTTGCTTGCCTTACAGGCAATTCATGGTCCACGTTAAGGTCCCAAGCAAAAAGAGCACCCATTGGTCGTAGGAAACTGCTACATTGCTGGACCCGAGGTTTGAGAAAATAACAGAGTTTGTCGAGAAATGTGCTATGTTCGTTGACCTAAATAGGACCTAAAGCAAACGTTTTGAACAACCTGTTTAGAAAAGACGCGTTGTACTAATTCTCCAAGAAAGCGAAACGTCTTTTCGGTAACTTTATGTTGGGACCGAGAAAACTAATTCTCACTACAAGAATGGTAAATGATTACCGTTATCCCAGTGTTCATTTTCAGAAACGATTTTTCAACGTATTGATATTGTATGCTGATGATATTGTTTTGCTCTCAGAAAGTCGTACAGATTTTCCAAATACATTTGTACTTTAAATGATATGTTTGAGTATTGAAGACTGTAGGATTGTTATTTACAAAACTAAAATTAAGAAATGTGAGTGATTGTCAAAGTGACTGATAGAGATTTTCTTATTTTGGTGTTCTTTTTAATTACCATAGTAGTTTTTATAAAACTAGGCAAAGATTAGCACAATAGGCAAGAAAAGCCATGTGATACGAAAAGCTCGCAAACTTTCTTTATATCAGTGTTTTGCATATGTTTAATTCCCAAACGGCACTAATTCTAATGTATGACTGTAAAACTACAACGTAAAGTTATTATTATTGGTTAAAATTTAGGGCTCAGAAAATAACGCATTAATAAGAAGAATGTATAATGTTCGGAAAGAAGATATAAAAAATAATGTGTCGTATAACGGAAATAACAGGGCATATTAAAATATACTTGACGAAATAGGTTTTTCATTTCTATGGTTACAGCAAAGCAAAATTGATAAATTGTACAACATTTCAAATCATAAAAAATAGAATATAAGCTATTTATAAAGAAACTTGGTATTCAGAAGTACATAATTCAAGTAGATTACAAACCTGAAGTAGGTATAGATATGACTTCGAATTTGAAAAAATGTTCTTAAATTGTGTTAATAGAAATAAAAATATAGAGTACAATTAACGCAATTTAGGTTGTCCTCGCGTGATCTAGAAATTGAAATTGGTAAGCACGACGGAGTTCCAAGAGATAATATTAGACTAAGTCAAGAATGAAATATGCATGTTATCGGAAATGAATTCCATTTTTTACTCGTCTGTCCAAAATATTATAACGCTCGTAGGCAATTTTGAAAACCATATTTTTGCCGTTGGCCTACACTTTAGAAAATGGAAACTCTAATGTCATAAAATAAAAATGAAAGAGAATGTAATAATTTATCAAGATTTATAGTTTATAGTTTTAGTTTTTCACTAAAAGTATAAGAAACACTGACTAATTTGTAAATTTTTAGATCTAGTTGAGGACATGCCGTAAAAATCTTCTCTGAAAACGTTTTGGATGATTGTATTATGAAGAATTGATGGTAAGAATGTCTTACACTTTCCCTACATTATGTGATAATGGCTCTGTGCGTTTTGTAGTTTTATGCCGAATAAAAATTGAATTGAATATACATTTTTTGTATTAAGTGACACCTTCTTATTTTTTCATTGTCAAGTTGAGCTGATTGACTATAATATATATTTAAACGAGATTGTTATAATGGTAATTGATCAACAGTTGATACTGGAATTTGTTGAGGATAAATTATAAATCTTCCTAAATTATTTTCATTTTCCTATACATTTACTTAATATCCTTGGTTGGGCATAATGTCACTTTAATATTATCTTGAATCTCAAAAGTTTTACTCCTAATTGTATGATACATGTATATTTGGACTAATATCTGTAAGCATAACTGATGTTATGTAACTTGGCTACGTTGTTCTGTCAAAGGATGACAAAATATTAATATTAATTATAACCATTTTAAGAATGATGTTATGTTCAGACTAGTTTACATGGCATGGTCCAATACTGTGGAAAAGTCACCTAAATGTATTGCATGTGCTGCATGTATACAAAAAGTAGAAAGTAGGTCTTTTGTTAATCACCTGGTCTTATTTTCAGTTAATTTTTTTAATGAATGATTTTGTTTTTTAAATCTTGAATCAGTTTATTTTCATCTTCATTTCCAATCTTTTAAAAATGTTCTTAAAAGAGGATAAACATATTATTTTTATCAATATAAGATAAGCGTGAGATAAAGCTTCGTACAGATTGTATTGTTTTACACGGATGGGTATACCCTACACTATCCGAAAACCATAATAAAATCCATGGTACAACACACGTATTAAGTAAACTTAATAGTACTGAACAGAACAGAACTAAATAGTCATTTGTCCATTATCGTGATATGTTATTAGCGGCGTAGATGCCATGTACTTAATTAGGTTTCAGTAATGGATGAAATTAGGTTTTGGATGCGTTAAAGAATGGCGCGTGACATGGCTAATTTAAGAAAACCAGGCATGATGTATGGTTAATTTTATACTCCAAATACATGCATTCCAGAACGCATTGGGCACAATCGATTCTCTTGTAGAATCCATAAGAAGTAAAGGCAATGGCTAATTTCAGACAATTTTGCTAATTGACGGCACGGAATTGGGACGGAATATCGCACGTATTAATATATGGTTCCGAAAATGAAATTACCCCAGGACAATGTTTCAGAATGAAAGTAATGGAGTTACTGCCGAATCGATTGATGGATATCACAATCAAGACAAAGAAATACCTAACTAAGCTAATTTGTCAGAACTATGTCGTTTTGATGGACAGTTTTTGGGGTAACTCTTGAAACTATTAACCATTTACTGTCAACTCCATTTGGATGTGTATGCTGTCCGACAGTTTTAGCACATCTGGGCAAGCGCCTGCGCTCTCTGCGGGTTCACCAGCAAACTTGATCATCCTTAAGATAACATTTTGAGGCGGGGGCTTTATTAGCCCTGTTAAAGTAAGGATTGGGCTGGTGTCTTTTGTCGCCATGCCAATAAAGACAAGATGGACGTAGGAGAAATAGAATGAAATGTCAATTGTTTTATTAAAAAAATAATTTATGTATGATATAACCCAACATTGTCTTATCTTCATTTTTGTTTGAAAGGCATAAACTACATTCTTGAATCCATTCGTAATCATTTCAGATACTCATAGCAAGAGAAGTGTTCAAATCTTACTTCTTCTAGCAAGAGATTTGTTTTAAACATTCCTCTTCTCGTGTATTCATCACATATATATTGTTTATAAAAAAATTATAATCAAATTCTTACTACCATTTTTTGGTGGTATAAGGGATAAAGGATGTTCTAACGCGCTTTGCGTTTTGTGTTGTTTTTTTTCCATCGTGAGGATTTTGTACAAAGGTCATGGAGATGATTTAAACCACTCGGACACCTGACCGATAACCGTTACTCATTTGTTTTATTTGCAATGACCATAACAAAAGCAATAATTATCTGTCCGTATCTAAATGATTTCGGTACCGCTTGTAACAGCGTTTATTCCAGACTTCTAAAGTTGGTGACAAACATTGGCGTTCTCTATTCTATAAGCAAAACCCATTTATTTTTAGCAATAAATTATTCTATTCTGTTTATTATCTTCAACTGTCAGGGTTCTTTTCAGTGATAATGTACATTGAGAGTTAGATTTCATGAAAATCAATTAATAATTATATTTATGGACTATGGATGATATAGAGCCTCGTTTTGAATACCACAATGGCTGATTTCAAAATAAACGTATATATCTTGATTAAGCATTTAAAAAACCGACCATTTATCTAGTAAATGACGAGACTCATATAGAGTAGGAAAGTGACAATAGAACGGGCATAAATTATATAGAAATTTTTATCCTCGGACTATATCGTCCATCTTGACAGCCAAATTGGTGTTATAGTCATTTTCACAGAATGATGGACAATTTTATTATAGTGATAAGATCGAAATAAGTCATTCCTTAACAATGGTGGGTTTTC